CACTAACGGATGGAGAGCCATATTATGTTGTCCATTTATTTTTGATGACATGTTGATATTTTCAACTTGTTTCTCAATGTTCTGGAGAATGGCTGGTGTAAAATTAGGTTGTTTTTTCTTTTTTCTGTTTCACAATGTCTGCGATCGAGAACTTTCCCAGAACTCTTAGCTAACTCAACCTTGAACAGTTCCATTTGAGAATGGCTGCATTATTCCACAACAATAGCACAACATTGTTAAATGTTCTTAGCAAACAACATGTCAAATAAATAGCTTCAGCTTTTATACATTTAAAATGATGCTAAGCTTGACTTGAATGTGTGGGAATTTGATAGATCATTTTATATATTCTACATTATAAAGATTTCTTACTGCCACCTAAATAAATGCTCAGAATGCATAACAAAATACCTAAAAACGTTTGAGAGCCTCTGCATTTTACAGTATATATCTGAGTGCCACGTACAACCAACCTACGTAAATAGTAGATGTTCGTTTCATGAAATGAAAGTTTGCTGTCTTAGAAAACTGCATTTCCCAGCATGTTATCACTTCTTTGACCTCCAGGATCAAGATCTGTCAAAAGCTAGATGGGGACTGTCAACGTGCCAAAGTCCAATTTTTTAGTGATGTTAGTATTTCTATTTGGATGAGATTCATGAATCACTACACTATATGCTGAAGGTTGCTGTGGCCATATTAAATAGAGCTGGAATAAGAGGATAGACAAAGGGATCCATTCCTACTGTGATGGAAACGGACATAAATATTTTGAAATACAGATGAGCTGGAGGATTTGTATCTTTTTTTTTTCCTGCTATTGAACAAGATATTTAAAGTTGGTTAGCAACTCATCACTATTTACCTTCATATGTTGAACTGTGTATTGCCAGAAAATCATGCTATCAAGGGGGTCCGAAGATAAAATAAACAAAGAGAAATGAAGTCAAATAGGTTATAAATGTCTCCAGATTACTGGGATGACATTAATATGCTGTATTGTACTGTTTGTTTCACTCTTGTATGGCTTTAAGATTTTATATTAATAGTTTGTCTTATGGTCAATATTTAGGCTAAGGTTTTTGTGTTAGGGTGAGTTATGGGCTAGTGTTGGTGTTAGGGATATTAAGGTAATTATTAAGGTAATTAATGATGTCATACATATTACAGGAACCCCAAATCTAGAATAACAGCAGGACGCAATGCCCTGATCTGTCTGAGATTTGTGGGAGTTATGCTGTCAATTAGCAGCTACTATTAGCAGCTGCCACTCTTAATTAAGTATGGCATACTCATGGCTAGTATCACTAGCTGCCACCATTCATTTAACTTGGAAGAGGACTGAATTCAATGGCAGTTGCATGCAGTAGCATAACTCCCACTAATCTAGAGGAGACTGGGTCATGCATGACACGTATTGTACCTTATTATACCTCCCACGATTGGGAGTAACCAATTTATTAGGTACATCAATAAAGTACTGCTTTATTAGTGTGCCTCATGACCCAGTTAAAATATTAGTGTCAGGGGTTTTAAAATGGCAGTGGGAACACTCAGGATTTTTATCAATGCGGGCTTGATGTCATTGCCTAGTCCAGGAATTCCCGCCCAAAAGGTATATCCTTAGATGTTGTATATCTATACCTCCCATGATGCGTTGCATGCCTTTATAATGCCTTAAAATGACAATGCACTATATTTACCAAAACAACTTTAGCTTAATTAAGTAGTTTTGAGTCAAGAACATGCCTCTGAAGTAGTACCACTCAATTCACTACCATTTCTGAGTTAAATCACTTTTGTTTCTGTTTATGCAGCCCTATCCACACCTCCCCTGGCTGTGGCTGATGCAGCCTGCATTAAAAAACAAAATGGGGGGAGGGGCAAGCTTTATGGCAGCTGGACGCACATTGTGCAAGTTCCAAGCCTGATTCTCTAACCCAACAAAATAATCAATTCTCAGCTGGCAACTCTGTGACACCTAAATGAGCTAGGAGCTGACTGGGGTGCCTCAGAACCAACAATTTACTTATCACTACAGTATCTCTCGAAGGCTCCAATGAGGCCCAGCGCTCTCCCACTCTATGCAAACAGTGCTGGCACAGAAACACCTTTTGGCCCTGAACCCCCCAACCCCTTTGGACCGACGGGGCTTATCCTGGGCCCCACTGGTAAACTGCAAGTACCAACGCGACCCCACATACAATAACTGCAATGATGGCAGATGTGTCTCTTCCTCAAGGGATGGAGCCTCCACAACATGGGAGCGAAATCCATGCCTATGTCCAACAATCACTCAGATGCCTGGATGAGCTATTTGACCGCTTTTGGGCCTTCCTGGTGGCTCATCAGGCTCAGGAGTCACCCTGAGCTTAGAAGGTGGAGGGGAAGGATGAGGGCTGGGTGGATAGTGAAGAGCCCTTTTGTACGCGACCAAGTATAACCAGTTCCTAGCCCACCCGGGTCAAGGGCCACTGGGCACAAGACCCCACAGTATAGTCCACATAGCATATTTATTTAACACATTTTGCAGTGCATTGTTGCTATAATAACTATATAACCAGTGGTTTTCAACGTACAGCAGTACTCTCGAGCCTATATTTATATATACTCTGATGACACTTCATGTATAGTACTCAGACATGCTCACCTCTTTACCTTTTGTAACTTAAAAATGAAATCTGTGCCAGTTACACATGTCATGTTACGTATCCTTGTTATTTTGCTTAACCTTTATCACTACGTAAACATGCCAGTTTAGTGTATATCACTGCACAAACAAAAAAAGGATGTCAAAAAAGAAAAAAATAGATGAAATGTAACATACTTTAGAAGTTTTTATCTCCTGCTCTGTAAATTAAACGTTAATTATACACAGAAGGCTACTTTAGTCTGTGCAATGAAGGACGTTTAAAAATTAGATCTCTCTTTACAGGAAGTGTTTAGTAAGATTGTGTAAGTCACATGCAGGGAGGTGTGACTAGGGCTGCATAAACAACGTTATTAAACTCCTAAATAGCAAAAAATTGAGCAGTGAGACTATACATTAAAACTGCTTTATTAAGCTAACGTTGTTATTGTTCCCCTTTAAGAATAATAGTGAGAGAAAAAAAAACAACTCATGGAACTCACATATAATAAATAGAAACAAAGAGAACCCCATAATACATGCAACCACAATAATAATCATCACAATAATAATCAAAAATTACATACAGGAGGCTCTTGCAAGGTCTAGCAAGCTATTAACAGAGCAGGGGATTGGAAATCCTAAATTAAACAGAATTTGCAATAAAGGAAATGTGAACAAGAGATAACTCTTTGCAGGAAGTGTTTATGAAGGCTATGCAAGTCACATGCAGGGGGGTTTGACTAGGGCTGCATAAACAAAGTGATTTAACTCCTAAGTGGCAGATAATTTTGTAATTTATTATGTTTGATGATCCCATGTAGGCAGTGCGAAGCAGAGCCAGGTGACTTTAAACACCTTATTATTCCACACAGAGGGCCACTTAAATATCTATTTTAACTTTAATAGTATCAGGCATATATGCTTGTATAAGTGTTTCCAAACTGTGACTCTGTTGTTAAATTACACAATATAATATAGTTTACACAGGACATGCATGTAAGCGAAGTAAATGCAAAGTTGGGAAGCATAGCACATATGCCAGTAATTAAATTATGATTTGCTTATTAATGAAAAATTTATATATATATATTTGTATATTATTTTTATTAACATTTATATCGCACCAACTTATTCTGTAGTACTTTACAAATAGTCAAGTTATATATATAGCATACAAAAAACAAACAAACAAAAAAAATAGGAAAGAGTATCTGTTACAGGAATGAGCAGTATGATAAAGTTTTAGTGCATCAAAATATGTAGATGAGCAATTAAACTTTAAGATTACTTATTGGTTACATCAATGCAGTTATTTTTCAACTCTAAAATAAAGCATCCTGTGGTTCTAGCTTTGCTTGATAGCTACATTTATATATTACTGCACCACAGAAAAAGACAGGGTAAATTAGTCATCACATACAATTAAAATTATAAAATTGGGTCTTACAGCAAGTTGCCACTTAAGGGAAAGACAAATTACAGTAATTTGTTATGTATGCTGGGTACCAAGCTAACTGCAAATCTAACAAGCAGGTTACGAGATTGATGATCACAGATACAGTTTGTAATGACAAATGTTGCTTAGATTTGCTTTACCCAGTCTATGCTTCTAGCTTTTTTGAAAATGTGCATTCCGCCAAACAACATATGGTGAGAATCTGTCTTATTAGCACTGGGCACATTTTTTACTTAAACATCTAAAATATATGGGGTTATTTATCAAAGTCCTATGGCTAGAATTCTAAAAAAAAAAAAACAGAATAAACAGCAACACTAGGTTACTAAAGAGATGCGCTGGGTGGTTAAATAAATAAATAAACACAAATCTTTTTTGGAAATAGAACTTTTGATGGATGGTGCCTTCATGGTTACTATAGGATTATGGAAATAAATAAGGACAAATGATGAAGTACAGTTCTGGAAATGTAGTAGCACAGCTCAGCGAGTAAGATTGTTAGTATGGAAAAAATAAATTGTTACTCTTCAATCAATATTTATTTATATAAAAACATTATTTAAAGGGACACTAGAGTCACCAAAACAACTTTAGCTTAATGAAATAGTGCTGGTGTATAGATCATGCTTCTGAAGTTTCACTGCTCAATTCACTGCCATTTGTTTCTGTTTATCCAGCCCTAGCCACACCTTCCCTGGCTGCGAGTGACATAGCCTGCATGAAAACAAAATGGATTAATTTCTGTTAAGATGTAACTCACTTTAAAAGTGTGTATGTCCTGCTCTGTAAATTGAACTTGGATTGCATACAGGAGGCTCCTGCATGGTCTAGCAAGCTATTAACAGAGCAGGAGATGAGAAATTCCAAATTAAACAGAATTTGTAATAAAGGAAGTGTAAACATTAAATGACTCTTTACAGGAAGTGTTTAAGAAGGCCGTGTAAGTCAAATGCAGGGAGGTGTTGCTGGACAAAAAGCGGTTCAACTCCTAGATGGCAGATAATTGGGTAGTGAGGCTGCAGGGGCATGATTTATACACAAAAACTGCTTCATTAAGCTAAAGTTGTTATGATGACTATAGTGTCCCTTTGAGTGAAATGGATAAAGCCAAGTTCTAGTGAAGTGTGAATTTGCATTAGGCAGTAATTCTTGCTGTTTAGAAGTTGCCTGCAATTGGTAAATGTATATGCAACATTTATGCAAACAGGCCGATTGTGAACATAGCTTTTTCTAGATAGAATTTAATATAGTACTAGGAAGGAATGTCGCTAGGCTGAGTAATCATATGCAATCTTTACCATTGAGTGTACAGTGTTCCATTTTACAATACTAATCTATGGCTATAAACTATCCCAGTTCCCAATAGTCTCTTCTTTAATGAAAGCACTATAGAACCATCCGACTATTACATGTATTTTGGATGCAGGACCAGTAATGTAGGACCCATATCACATCAAATAGACTCTGAGTTATTTATTACACATATTCTGCTCTTTATGGCTGAAATATACATAAAAAGACAGTCAGGACATTTACTACCCAAGATGTTTATGACCTGAATACAGTTGAGTTCCGATTCACTAGAGAAAAAACATCTATATATGTGATATACTGATTTAACATTGTTAATGCTGTGTGTCAAACTTGTGTCAAACTTATTTGTGAGTTTGTTCAGATTGGCAATTTATAAATAATAATAATGATAATAATAATAATAAGACCTTTAATTAGCAGTACCATGCCCAAATTCAACAACTACGAATAGTAATCACTCCTGTCAATTGTATGTTGATATTTTATATTTGATTATAACATTGTTGTTTAATAAATGGTGGTGCTTACCCTCTAATAAAAGTTTATGTGAACACTGAGAATCGACAACCACTCAAGTAGCTTGCTCCTCAGTAGGTCCTTGATCAAATATTGTACAAGCTTTATCTGTCACGCAGAGGGAGCCAGCCAGCATGTCGGATCTGGACTGTCCTTTGGGATGCAGTCGTGTTTGTTTGCAAATAGTTTATGTCCTCTCTCTACCTGCAATATCCACTAAAACTAGCTTGAGAACTGAGCGGGGACCTACTCAAGGGCAAGATGTATGAGTTGTTATCCTTTTTTAATTTTGAGCCTAACCAAGTGCCTCATATAATGCATTGTAAAAATAGAAAAAAAATTAAAATATCTAGTTCACTGCAAAAATAAACAAGCAAAAAATAAAAAAGCATTCCATTTTGTAATTGACTTATTCATTTATTTTGACATAAATACTATAAATAATTCAATGGATAAAACAAAATATCATTCACACACATTCTCCTTCTTCATGTGCCACATTCCATGCAAAAACATTAATTCATAGGAATGTGAACCGGGTTTATATCAAAGATTTATCCCTAATATTACATTCATAAAATATGTTATGACAGTTTGACCATAATCACGGATTTAAAAAAGTCACGACTAACTTTTAATCTAAATTGATTTGGTCCTTGCCCAGTAGAAGGAATATGAGGTATACATCAAATGAGAAAATAGTTTTCTCCAAGATAATACATCATAAATCAACACATCAGCTATTGTAGCATTAGGGATACACAATATTCCTCTACAATGCCCTAAAGGAAATACTCACATCTGCTTTATGTAAGTGAATTATGAAGAGGTTTGGCAGTTTTTTCAAGAGTTTCTTAGAGTGGTTTAACATTGAAAAAAAGAAATAAAAGGAATTGTGAAAGTCAAAGACTGAACGGGAGTCACAGGTTCACCACCATTTGATGTGACAGCAAAGACAAATAAACAAAGACTGTTGTGCATTCTTTCAATATCTTTCAATATATGTGATGACTTGGAACTCAGCATTGAGTGTTATACCAATAATTCTCTGTTAGATCTACAATTTTAGAGAGCATACAGAATGAAAAAAAAAGGAGTAATGATCTCTAAAACAAAATGATTGATTAGTTTTATTTTCAAAATAAATAAAAATACAAACATGCTGTAGAAAAAAAAGTAATACACTGATCAGTGAATGTAACTGGTCACTGGTATTCCATTTTTTTTTTTTTAAATATCACAACTAGTATCAGTGGTCTTAATATCGATCTTATGTTTAAGGTGTACAAAATCATTCTGTACAAAAAACATCTACATTATGCTATGAGAAAAAACAAAACAAAAAAACCCCCAAACTAATGGCTTTAGTATGAACCGGAGAAGCATTTGAGGCTGACCTTTTTCGATTGACTTAAGTGTCTTTGCCAGAAATTAAACCTACACAATTGGACTATGTCATGAGCAGAGTTTAACGAGGGCCTATATTTCAAATGGATTCCGAATGACAGGCTAAACATATGGTTGCAGTGGGGGTCACATATTCCCTGATTGCTATCACAGCCTTCTTGTAACAGCTTTGACACTTTTCATTCAGGCACGTGTAAAAAATAATAGCTGCTGCCCTTTGACGGAAAGGTTCTTGAGTAGATGTATATCAAGTGAAGGTTAAACCTCCAAGACTCTTTGTTCTGAACTTCTAAGCAGTCAACAAAAGCCATAATGTGTATAGTGGGGTTTATAGTTCTTAAATAATTGCACTATCCTATTTTCTAATTTCAGCTATAATTAGAAAGGAGACATGGCTCCTTTTATGAAGCTCATAGCATGCCCCATAGAATCCGTAGGATTATTGAAGCTCAGAGCATATGACTTTATCTAGACTTAATAGCTTGTCCTAAATTTCGTAGTTGGATTTTTTTTTTTTGTGGCAGAGTTAGGCTATTGCCATTTTTATTAAAACTTCAATCTCATCATAGTAAGCAGTAATTATCCAATGTTCGGTGTCACACTTTTTCACAACGCTGGACCCCGTCATAAAATATCTCCTTTGAGACCCAGTTGGTTGCAAAAGACTGTAATACAGAAAAGGAAATATACAACTTCAACAAAGGCTGTAGATAAAAACAAATCTCACTTGGCATATACAAACTGCTGCTGATTTAATACACACCATTAGTTCTTTCCATGCAAGGTAATACCCTAATCTAGCCTTGACTAAATGACCTCAGTGAAGAGGCACACCACAAAGACCCTTGAAATGCCACAGTGGTTAACGATGACCTCACTTAACCCACCTGAACAGGATAATATTGCAGCATTCCTCTGCAGAGATTTAGACCTGATGAATAGAGTCCTGCAAGGAAAATAGTTTTTCTGTCTGATTCGAACCAGAACTGGAGCAAAGCAAAAGGTAATTGGGAGTTTATAGACCAAATTGTGTGTTCAATTGCTTTTCGATGCAGGCTGAAATGCTCTATTATGCTCTCCATCTTGGAACTATGAGACATAAACTTAAATTTGGTGTAAGTAATAAATGATTTCTTTATATATTTGGAGAGAACTTCATTTGTTGAATTTTTGTACCAATAGATACATTGCCAAATTTTGTAACAACATATGCTTGTATACAACAATCCCGTTTTGACTATTTTACATTGTCTGAAAAGAAACATGTTTCCATCAAGTTTAGCCTTCCTCACATCTATGTTTTGCTGTTGATCCAAAAGAAGGCAAAACATCCCAGTTAGAAGCACTTATAGTTTTGCAACAAACTAGGAAAACAATTCCTTCTTGACCACAGAATGGCTGTCAGATTTATCCTTGGATCAAGAAGCTATTACTCTACAATTGAAAAATTCTATCATTGAATATTGTTTTTACATGTATGCATATAGTTGCTGTTTAAACATGTGTACAGACATTAATAAAACCACTTCTTCAGCCACAGAATTCCACATCCTTATTGTAATTACAGTAAAACAACCTTTTCTTTGCCTTAGACTAAATCTTCTTTCTTCCAGTCTAAACGCATTACCTCGTATCCTATGTATAGTCCTGTTTGTGAATAGATTTCCACACAATGGTTTTTATTGGCCCTGGATATATTTGTATAATAGTATCATATCCCCTCTGACGTGGTTTTTCTAAACCAAAAATGTTTAAATTTTCTTTCTTCATAGCTAAAATGTGCCATTCCTTTTATTAATTTTGTAACCCACCTCTGCATTCTTTCCATATCCTTCTTTAGAACAGGTGCCCACAATTGCACAATATATTTAAGATGTCGTCTTACCTGTGATTTATAAAGAGGCAAAATGATATTCTCTTCCTGAGAATTAGTGCCCTTTTTTATGCATGACAATACCTTATTGGCGTTAGACAGTGCTGATTGTCATTGCACATTATTGCCTAGTTTGTTGTCTATAATAATTCCAAAATCCTTATATTTTGACAGTTGCATTAGTGCAGCAGAAATTCATCATTTGACTGGGTTTACTATTCTTGTTTCCATAAACTGCCACAGATATTTTGTTGCAATATATCTGACAAATAGATTGTATAATACTGTGAATATGTTCTATTGAAATATACGAGTACAATATTTTGTAATATGTGTTTTTTATTATAAGCATCTAATACATATATAAGGTTATTAATCCTGGTCAGTTGTGAAATGTAATTGTACTGAAACCTTTGACTGGTTCTGTATATACTCAAATAATCCATGAATTCCTTACAGGCTGCAAACAAATTGTGTTTTTTTTCATGAGAAAATGGTGAAGGCTAGATTGGAGTAGATTCCTACATTTACTTTTTCTAAAACACAAACTTTTTACATAAAAGCAGTTAATAATTGTTAATCACAACACATTATAATATATTAACACACACACATTCAATAGCAGTATCACATTTTTTGCTTATTATAATAATGTAAATATTATCTTGTAAGGTATATCATTATAATTTAAAATGTTTTAAATTATTTAATCTTTGCTGAAAAAAAAGACATTAAGAAATGAAACGGTGTACATTTATGTTGGATTAGTAAGTGCATTCTCTGTATGAGATCATTAATGGCAATTTAGTTGGATAGCTAGTAATGATTGCATTTAGCTGTCATTGTAATGTTAATGACTCCTGCACAGGATTCCCCCTCTCTGTGGGTCACACTACGTGGAAAATAGCTGTGTCAGGGTTACTATTGAGCAGTGACTTCTCAAACAGCTTTTCAAGGCACTGCAGGTGCACACCATTTGCATCTAGATTATGAAGTGGAAAATTA